TTTTTAAAGTTGAATGCAGCACTGATCTATAGACAATCCTGCAGGCACTTGCCACATTTCGACATGATACATTACTAAACTTTCAAAAAAGCAGATCTATTTTGTCTGGAGTAACAATAATTAGCATTTGGAGTTAGATTAGAATCTCTAGGTCTTTGTCTATTTTAACTATTTTACTTAATTTAGGTCTTACTGTAGCTAATCAGCTAGCCCACGTCTCATTCTCCCACACTTAACGACTGAGCCACCCAGGTGCCCCCTCCCTTAATTTTTTTAAAAATAGCTTTATTGATATAAAAGCATATACCTGAGAATTTACACATTTTAAGTGTACAATTTAATGACTTCTAGTAAATTTGCCAAGTAATGCAGCCATCACCAACATTCAGTTTCAGAACATTCCATCCCCCTAAGTGCCTATTTACAATTAATCCTGTCTTGCCACCCATGCCGCAGGCAACCGATAATCTACTTTTTGTCTCTATAGATTTGCCTGTTTAAACATTTCATATAAATTGAATTATATGTTATTTCATTCTCCCTTTAAAACACCCAGTCACCTTCTACACAATCTGAATGGAGTTCAGCCCTTTACCTTCAGTCAATAGTTTCTGAATAAAATCTGTTTTTGCTACTTTAATGTCTGGCTTTGTTTATCTTTGACAATCATTCCCACCCTTAATGCACACAAATATCATAATCACTATAAAGGTGTCAACAGGGGAAGGAGTGCTACTGGCATCTAGTGGGGAGAGGCCAGGGATGCTGCTAAACATCCTATTATGCACAGGACTGTCAATTACTCAGCCCAAAATGTCAAAATGCTGAGGTTGAAAAACTCTGCTCTTGACAATCAGAACTCAAAGTTTTGGGGACTAGAAGCAAAAATTAAAAAAAAAAAAAAAAGGAAGACTTTTACTAGGGTATCACAGGGATAATAAAGGAAGGGTCCACTCCCATTTCCATGGTTTGATTCCCAGTTCCATGAATTCTGGCTATGGGAGAAACAGCACCATATTATTGATTGCTGATTTATAGCATATGTCCATAAAACGTGTACTTTGCATCTAGCTAGTACTGAAACCAGTACTCAAAAGACCATTCCTCCATCTTATTATGTCAGTTGCTTTTTTGTGTGTGGTAAACTATATATGATACAAAATTTCCCATTTTAATCATTTTGAAGTGACAATTCAGTGGTATTAACTACATTCACCCTGCTGTGCAACGATATGTCTGCTTCCAAACTTTTTCACTGCCCTTAACAGAAACTGTAACCATCAAGCAGTAACTCCCATTTCCCCCTTTCCCAGCACTGAAAGCCTCTAATCTGTCTCTCTGATTTGCCCATTCTAAATACCTCATATAAGCGGAAATACAGCATTTATGTTTTTGAGCCCGGCTTATTTCACTTAGCATACTGTTTTCAAGGTTCATCGTATTGTAGCATGTGTCTGAATTTCATTCCTTTCTATGGCTGAATAATATTCCATTGTATGTATATACATTTGATTTATCCAATACTTGGGATGTTTCCACCTATTGGCTCTTATGAATAATGCTGAAACGAATAGGAGTATGCACATATGTGTTTCAATCCCAGTTTTCAATTCTTTGGGGTATATACCTAGGAGTAGAATTGCTGGGTCATATGATAATTCTATGTTTAGGCCAGCTGCTTTATAATGATAGGGGCATCACTTATCTATTGCTACATAGCAAATTATCCCAAAACTTTGTGGTTTAAAACATAAATGAGGGGCGCCTGGGTGATTCAGGCAGTTAAGCGGCTGCCTTTGGCTCAGGTCATGATCTCAGGGTCCTGGGATCAAGTCCTGCGTTGGGCTCTCTGCTCAGCGGGGAGTCTGCTTCTCTCTGTCTGTCTCTCTCTCTCCCTCTGTGCTCTCTCTCTCAAATAAATAAATAAAATCTTTAAAAAAAGCCAAACCATAAATGAGACAGGGACCTTGGGAACAAGCCCCAATGCACCTGGGACTCTCCTGAGTGGCTGTTATTACTTCTCTTGCAGAGCAACCTGTAGGCTGTTACCGCTTTTTCTCGCAGAGCAAAGCACTAGCCAAGGAACAAGCCTAGACCAGGTTCACACTAGTCTGAGATAAAATGGGCAGCAAATTTACCTTTCACTGACTTTTCCCCTTATTATTATGCTAAAACACATACCCAGAGGTAGAGACAACATGCAAATGAAACATAATGATATATGAAGAAGCATGTTTTGTCAACTGAGCCTACGCCCCCAATTTCCCAGAATTCCCTGCCCCTACATGCTTAAACATCACTCCTTTCCCACCTCAGCCTCTTTAAAAGTTTCCCTGGTTATTGTTCAGAGAGCCAGTCTGACCCCTTTGTCATGACTGTGTCTCCCTCCAGCTGCAGCTGTTGCCCCTATATTAAAGCTTTGCCTGTGTTTGTAAATGTTGGATCCAGCCTCATTTCTACCATTGCTGGGTCCAAAGGCCTGAGTCCAGTAACATAAACATTTATCTTTTTTTTTTTTAAAGATTTTATTTATTTATTTGAGAGAGAGAATGAGAGAGAGCGAGTACATGAGAGGGGGGAGGGTCAGAGGGAGAAGCAGACTCCCTGCCAAGCAGGAAGCCCGATGCGGGACTCGATCCAGGGACTCCGGGATCATGACCTGAGCCGAAGGCAGCCACCCAGGCGCCCCTAAACATTTATCTTTTTATTTTTTCTTTTTTGGATCAGGAATCCAGGAAATATTAGCTGGGTGGTTCTATCCCAGAGTCTCTTACAAGGTTGGAGAAGCACTAGCGGATCAGCTTCCAAGGTGGCTCACTCACATGGCTGGCTTTTCACAGGTGTTTTCTGACATGGTGACTGACTTCCCTTCAGGTAGGCGATTCAAGAGAGGAAGGCAGAAACTGCAGTACTTTTTACCACCTAGCCTCAGAAGTCGGGCACTATCTAAAACTGTATATGTTAGAAGTCACTGGATCTAGTTCACATTTAAGGAGAGGGGACTGGGTTCCATCTTTTGAAGGGACAAGTATTAAAGAATTTGTGAACACATTTTAAGAGTACCATACCATCTATTGAGTTTTTAATGTCAGTATCATATTTTTAAATTCTAAAAGCTCCACTTGGTTCTTTTTCAGCTCCTTAATGTCACTTTTTATAGTTTCCTTTTTATCAGGTTTTGTTGCATAATAAATTACTTTTAAAACTTGGTGGCTTAAAATAACTATTTACTTAGCTTACAATGCTGGTCAGCAGTTTGGACTGGGATCATCTGGGAGGTTCTTCAGTTCTCCACTGGGTTCCACTGTGTTTCTGTGGTCAGCTGTGTGTTGACTTGGTGGCTTTGTTTTTAGGGCTTTGCTGGCTGTTGACTGGGTGTTGTTGCTCTCCTCCTTTTGTCTTATCCTCCACATATCTCTCCCTTCTCTTCAGCAAGGTGGCCTGGGCTTGTTCTGGAGAAGGCAGGAGTTCAAGAGAGAAGAGACAGACACATGTCCTCTTAGGGCCCCGGCTTGGCATTGTCAGGCCTTTTCTGCTGCATTCTGTTAGCAAAAGTAAGTTACAAATTCAACTCAGATTAAAGTGGAGGTCAAATAGATCCTACCACTTGATGGGAAGAGCTACAAAGTCATATTGCAAACGATGTGGATATAGGAAAAGAGAGAGAATTGGGTCCATTTTTAAAAATCAATCTGTAAAAGCACTCTAATTGGTCTTAAGAGTTAACTTGGCTTCAAGCCTATGCACTCCTTGCTTGCTGACTTAAGTCCCTCAGTCTATAGCAGAACCAGCCTACTTCCCTTGAGATTTGCAGACAGTTGACATGTTTCAAAGACCATCTTCCCTGTCCAGGTGAAGCTGGAGGGTTTTAAAGAGGAAGGCATGGGAAAAAGGGAGGGGGGCTACGAGCAGAAGCAGGTGCCCAGATGCTTAGTAGTATGTTGAAATGACCTTGAATAGACTTGCTGGCATCAGCAGCAGCTGTTTTCAAATGTAGTAGGCCTTATCTTCTGGGAAAGTTTGGTCCTTCACTCCTCAAGGCCAGTGGTCTCTTCCTGTAACAAATCTACCACAAATATACTTCGCCTTTTATAGTCTTTATCTGAAAAGGCTAGTATCTGATGCCTTTGCAGGTCAGTATTTCTTGCTATGTTTGCTGCTTTTTACCTATCATTTTCATTTCCTTCCGTGGCCTGGTTATCTTTTGCTTATACTGGACTTTTGATATGAAAATGTATGTATGGTAATAATCTGAGTTCTGTAATATAGTACTTTCCTCCAAATGGGGTAATACCTTAATTCATTTCAATTTTCCTCTCAATTTTTCGTAATGATTCATGTCCAAAAAAGGATTGCCTGTAATAGGACAAAGTACAACTTCCTTTGCTTGTCTGGGAAGTGGACCCTGATTCATGTTGGGAATCAGACACTAGTAGGAGCCAGTCAGGTTCTATGTCACCGGCCTAGCCTACTGTTTGAGGCTTTCATTATTTCCACAACTTCCACTCTTCCACAGGCATTAGAGTAAGCAAAACTCAACAGTTCCATTTCCCAAATGTGTGATCTATTTTCCTGACTTTTTTTTTTTAAGATTTTAATTTATTTATTTGACAGAGAGAGACACAGCGAGAGAGGGAACACAAGCAGGGGGAGTGGGAGAGGGAGAAGCAGGCTTCCCGCGGAGCAGGGAGCCCGATGCGGGGCTCGATCCCAGGACCCCGGGATCATGACCTGAGCCGAAGGCAGACGCTTAACGACTGAGCCACCCAGGCGCCCCTCTATTTTCCTGCCTTGATACAATTCTCTCCACTTGGAATACCCATTACCCCTAATGAAAATAAAAGAAAGTAGACTCCCAAGGATTAAGAATTCTAATAAATATTAGATAAGAGATCAATAAGCGCACCTAAAATAACGCAATTAGAGTGACGCCTGCGCAGAGCCGCGGGGAAGGAAGGAGCGGGCGTGCGCGGGGGGCGGGGCGGCGCATGCGTGGGGCGACCTGTGGCCTGTGCGCGGCTTTGGGTCCCTCCTCCTCACGCGGTGGTAGTTATACTCTAGCTGCGGGGCCCTCGCGAGGGTGATGGATTTTGAGAATCTTTTCTCCAAACCCCCCAACCCGGCCCTGGGTAAAAAACCGACCACGGACTTTGATGAAAGGTGATTCCCCATCTTTTCATGCTTTGATCACAGGGGCCCCAGTCGGGTTCCGCCTTTTGGTTCCACTGGAGGCTGCCGGGACCGCGTGTGGGCCACGCCGCTGGGTCGCGCGGGGAGTGCGTGGGCGAGCGTGTGGGGTCCGCCTGGCAGGCACGGGGGTCGGACGTGGAGAGGTCGCTCTGGGGCCGCCGGGGATGGAAGCCGGCAATGGGGCTCCTTTCGTAAGCTGCCACGGGGAGAGGTGCCGGGACCCTGCTTGAGGGGAGCATCGGGGTCCAGGCGGCGATCTCGGGAGGCTCCCCTTTCTCTGCGCCCCTGACCCTCTAGATCCGGTTAGAAACCTCCGTGTGTTTCCACAGTACTCTTCCTTCCACCGACCGTCAGCTCCTAGAGGACAGATCATTTGTCATTTCTCACTGACACATGCTAAACACTTTTTTTTTTTTTTAGAAAAATCCGAAACCCTAAGTTCATTAAGCAATGAGGGCAAATAGTGAATAGTTTGCCTTTAATTCATTGATTTGCATCAGAAGACCCTAAAGACCATAATAAAGCAGCAAACACGATTTGGGTTTCCTTTAGGTTGAGAAAGGAACTGACGCCGCTGGCCAAAGGGTGATCATTTATTGATCTCATTTTTAGAGACGTGTAGAGTGTAGTTTCTTTACACCCAGATATTCGTTTACTTTTTTTTTTTCTGTTTGAAGTGCTAAAAACCAACCTCTAAACCTGTGTGTTTTCCCCAATTTCCTTAAGCTGAAACCGAGACACACAGCCTTTTGTTCCTTTATTTCTCTCATTCTCAGTATATCTCTTATTCTGGTTGATTTTTGCCTCCCGATATCATTCAAATCTGTTCACTTTATCTCAGATACCTTAATTAAAACTATTACCTTAATTCAGGCTACCATCAAGAGTTTTACTAAGTGCTTTACATGAAATATGTCATTTAATCTTAACCTTGAAGAAAAGATACTGTCCTTGTTTTTGCAGATGAGAAAATTGAGGCACAGAGAGAATAAATAACTTGCCAAGATTGCACAGTGTTAAGTGGCATATCTATGACTAAGTTACCCATGATTTGATTTCTGTGTTTCTAAGGCAAAAATGACTAACATAAAATAGGATCTATAAATACTGAAAAGAGACAAAGACACTAGTTACTTGCAGATGATATGATCCACCTACAAAAGAAAATAAGAGGAACGTTAATAAACCATTAATTTAGCAAGGTGAATCACAAGACAATAGCTTCATGTTAACAATAGCATCTATCAATTTGAAAATGTGTTGGACATAAGATTCTATTCACAAAAACTTTACTGAACTGCATAAAATGCACTTCTGGATTTCTGCCCAAATGTTAGGTGTAGAATGGTATATACAGAGAGCATCTGTGAACTGTTCCTTGTTCATAGCCTTTGCCTGTTTTTCTCTCCATCGGTCCTTCTCTTTAAAATTTTAGGATCTCTAGTCTGCAGATATTTTACTTCTGCTTTATTGTCTTTTGACTCTGCTTATGGCATTTTCATTGCACAAAGGGTTTTTTGTTTGTTTTATTTTTTAAATTTATTTTTATTTTTTATTATTTATTTGACAGAGAGAGCACAAGTAGGCAGAGAGGCAGGCAGAGAGAGAGGGAGAATCAGGCTCCCTGCTGAGCAGGGAGCCCGATGCGGGGCTCGTTCCCAGCACCCTGAGATCATGACCCGAGCCGAAGGCAGCCGCTTAACCGACTGAGCCACCCAGGCGCCCCTGTTTGTATGTTTTAAGTAAAGTCACAGGAATCTAGCTTTTATGGTTTGTGGGTTTTTTCATAGTAATTTTATAATAGGTTTACTTATTTCTTGAGCACCTGCCATTATCCTAGGCCCTGGGACTATAGCAATAAATAAAGAGATAAAAATCTCCATATTCATGAGATTTATATTCTTGCAGCACAGACAATGCATAAGTAGTATTTTATTTTATTTTTTTAAGATTTTATTTATTTATTTGACAGAATGAAAGAGCACAAGTAGGGGGAGCAGCAGAGGGAGAGGAAGAAGCAGGCCCCCTTCCGAGCAGGGAGCCTGATGTGGGACTCGATCCCAGGACCCTGGGATCATGACCTGAGCCAAAGGCAGATGCTTAACCATCTGAGCCACCCAGGCGCCCACATAGATAGTATTTTAGGTGATGATAAATGCCATGGAGAAAATGAAAGCTGGGTAGGAGGATAGGAAGGGAGGATGGGATGGTAGGGAGAATGTAGATATTTTAAAGAAGTTAAAGAAAGCCTCAGTAATATCACTGATAAGTAATATTTGAGTAGAGAGGTGAGAAGGGTTGATTTCCAGCAGAGAGAATATAAAGGTCCGTATAAAGGTCTTGAGGTGGAGTGAGCATGGTGTGATTAGGTGATGGGATGAAAGTGGCCAGAATGACAGCTGGAATGGAGTTAGAGTAGCAGGACTTGAAGAGAAGTAGGAGCTGGGAGGTACTCGGGGATAGGGTCAGGGAGGCAGATCATGTAGGGACTTGTAGGTGCCATAAGAAGGACTTTGGCTTTTACCCTGAATGAGATGAAAGGCTGTTGGAAGGTTTGCAACAGAGAGTGACATTTTAGCAGGGTCATTGTGGTTGTGTTGACAGTGGAATGTAATGGCAAGAGTAGCTTGGATCATAGTATTAGTAGCAAGAAGTGGCCAAATAATGGATGTATTTTGAAGATAAACTGGATTTTGTCACAGATTGGATTGAGGATATGAAAGAGGAGTCTAAGTTACTTCAGAGTTTTGGGTCAGTATCATTAGAAGGGTCGAGTTGCTGTTTAAAATAACAGGAGAGGGGTGCCTGGGTGGCTCAGTCAGTTGAGCGTCTGCCTTCGGCTCGGGTCATGATCCCAGGGTCCTGGGATGGAGTCTGGCATTGGGCTTCCTGCTCAGCAGGGAGTCTGCTTCTCCCTCTCCCTCTGCCCTTCCTGCCACTCATGCTTGTGCGCACTCTCTTACACTCTCTCTCTCAAATAAATGAATAAAATCTTAAAAAAAAAAAAATAACAGGAGGATTAGGTCAAGAGTTCAGTTTGGGCTCTGTTAAAAATATGTCAAGTAGCTATTCAGGTGGATGTGTTGCCTAGGAAGTTGGCTTTCCCTGTCTGGGCTCAAATCTCAGTTCTACCAGTTAAGTAGGTGTGTGGCAAGTTTTATAAGCCTTTTGTAATTCAGTTCTCTCATCTGTAAAATGGGCTTTTAACCACCAGTACGTATGTCATAGGCTGTTGTGATGTGGGTAACATGCATGGAATCGCTTCTGGCATACGGTAAGCATAAGACAGCTCTCTTTTTTTTAAGATTTTATTTATTTATTTGACAGAGAGAGAGCACAAGTAGGCAGAGAGGCAGGCAGAGGGAGAGGGAGAAGCAGGCTCTCGCTGAGCAGGGAGCCTAATGCCGGACTCCATCCCAGGACCCTGGGATCACGACCTGAGCAGAAGGCAGACAACTTAACCGACTGAGCCACCCAGGCGCCCAGCTTTTACTGCTCTTGTAGTCATTATTGTCATTATTGCTTTGCCTCAGGAGAGGTTGCTTCCTACTCCGTAAGATGATTCATTACTGATAACTGGAACAATGAAGGTTCCTTGTATTTGGCTTACTGGCTCTTGTGATAGCTTCTGTAGAGTCTCACAAGTTGGTGCCTTATCTGATAGACGAAGCTCTGAGACTCTGACTAGGGACAGATCAGTGGTAAGCTGTTGAATCAGATGAAGCTGTGAAGCCTGAGCTCCTCCTATAACTTTGCAAGAAGCTCAGAGCCGCTATTCACATTCTTTTTTTTTTTATAAAGATTTTTATTTATTTATTCATGAGAGACAGAGAGAGAGAGAGAGGCAGAGGGAGAAGCAGGCTCCCAAGGAGCAGAGAGCCCAATGCGGGACTCGATCCCAGGACTCTGGGATCATGACCTGAGCCGAAGGCAGACGCTCAACCATCTGAGCCACCCAGGAGCCCCACTATTCACATTCTTGTGCTAGTTAGTAGTGCATTCCATTTGTAAAATGTTTGTTTTGAGAATGTGCTCATTGCCTATTCCTTACCTTTATCTGGCATGTAACTCCTATCTTAAGCTTTTATTCAGTAGTCACTACTTGTCCAGACATAATTGCTTTCAGCCCCCTGTATTTATGGTGTAAATTTCAGTGACATCTTTTCTCACCAGCTTCCCATTTTCATCCTTCTTGGGTTCATTTTTAGTTTTTGTAGAATATCCTCAAGTCACTTCTGATAATGTCTGCATGTTAACTTCTCAGTCCTTGCGAGTCTGGAAACAACTTTTCTTTTTCATCTTTCCATTTGAATATAACTTAGGCTCTCTCCTGACCTTGAAAGGCATCTTGCATTCTACCTGAAATACTATTCTCCCTTATGTTCCTCTTTTTAAGATTTTATTTATTTATTTGAGAATGTGTATGGGGGGGCGCCTGGGTGGCTCAGTTGGTTAAGTGACTGCCTTCAGCTCAGGTCATGATCGTGGAGTCCCGGGATCGAGTCCCGCATCGGGCTCCCTGCTCGGCAGGGAGTCTGCTTCTCCCTCTGACCCTCCTCCCTCTCATGCTCTCTGTCTCTCATTCTCTCTCTCTCAAATAAATAAATAAAATCTTAAAAAAAAAAAAAAAGAATGTGTATGGGGTGGGGCAGAGGGAGAGGGAGAGAGACTGCTGAGCAGGGAGCCTGACTCCAGGCTCGATCCCAGGACCCTGGGATTATGACTTGAGCAGACACTTAACCGACTGAGCCACCCAAGAGCCCCACTAACTTTTTAAAAAAGTTTATTTATTTATTTATTTTAAGTAATCTCTACACCCAACGTGGGGCTCAAACTCACAACCTGGAGATCAAGATTCACATGCTCTACTGACTAAGACAGGCGCCACTGTTTGGTAACTCTTATATATCTTTTAAGCTTAGAAGATCCTTGGCCCCCAAATCTAGGCTAAGTGTTCCTATGCTTACCAAACTATATTAAAATTGCTTTATTTTTTTTCTCCCAAGCACATAGAAATTTCTCAGAAGGCAGGGACAAGGTCTTTTTCATTGTTGTATCCCAAGATTTAAGGCCTATAGCCTGGTATATGGTGGATACTCAGTATTTGTTGAATGAATGGAGTGATGAATCAATGGGTGGTTTATATAGCTCCTGAGACTAGAATGTGAAGGTTATGTAATCTAAAATTTCAGCTTTATGGTTTACTTACAAACACATGTTGATGTGTATTGCTTATCATAAATTTGTACATTATTCCTTGGAGTATTTGGAGTAGAATTTGAATTTGGAATTTTTTTTAAGGGCACGTAGAAGATAAGCCGAAGCCATGAATTTTAATGCTGTGGTATGAACCATTTTCAGGTTGAAAAAACTCTTGTGTTATTTGATATTTTTCTTACAGAATCGATGATGGAATAGATGATACAGAAGTTGAAGAAACACAAGAAGAAAAAATAAAATGGGAAGTAAAACTGGAATGTGAGCAAATACCCAAAAAAGTAAGATTAAGTTGGCATGTTGAAAAAACACAGGAGTGGGTGTGAGAAATTTGTTAGGGGTCCTATTTGTCCCAGTTTATTGAGCATTGGAGACCTAGTTCCTTATGTCAAGGAAACCTGATAACACTTCAGAAAATTTATCAGTCAGAAACTTCAGTCATTTAACATGAACTATTTTAGTGTATTGCTTTTATTTTGGTTTTCCCTGTTTCTGAAATGGGTTGTAAACTGTTTCAAAAACTTCTCTTTTCTTTCTTTTTTTTTTTTTTTTTTAAAGATTTTATTTATTTGACAGAGAGAGACACAGTGAGAGACGGAACACAAGCAGGGGGAGTGGGAGAGGGAGAAGCAGGCTTCCCACGGAGCAGGGAGCCCGATGTGGGGCTCGATCCCAGGGCCCTGGGATCACGACCTGAGCCGAAGGCAGACGTTTAACGACTGAGCCACCCAGGCGCCCCAAAAACTTCTCTTTTCAAGTTAGGCCATAATTTCTAAGGGTTTTGATTTGCTAACTTAACTAACCTTAGTGATTTACAGCTTAAAGCTTGTGTTACTTTGCTAGGACTGCCCTAACAAAGTACCACAAACCAGGTGACTTATGCAACAAAAGATTCTTGTTTTGTGTTTCTGGAGACTGGAAGTCCGAGATCAAGGTGTTGGTAGGGTTGGTTCCTTCTGAGGGCTATGAGGGAGAATCTGTTCATGCTCTTCTGGTAGTTTCTGGTGGTTTGCTGGCAATCTTTGGTGTTCCTTGTCATGGCTTCCAGAAACATCACCTTGATCTTTACCTTCATATTTGAATTGTGTTCTCCCTATGTGCATATGTTTGTGTCTAAATATATCTTTTTATAAGGATACCAGTCATATTGGATTAGAACCTACCCTAATGACCTCATCTGAACCAACTACAAATGTAATGGCCCTATTTCCAAATAAGGCCATATTCTAAAGTACTGGCTGTTAGGACTTCATAGGGAGAATTTGTGGGGGACACAGTCAACCCATAACAGCCAATATCTGCTCCTCTCTTGCCTCTTTTTCTCTTTCTGAACTTTTTTTTTATTGTGCACTTTAACACACCACAAAATGATGGGTTTGAATTGGCAGTGAGACTCACAAGATACAAATAGGCTTTAATGTGATACTCTTAGACTTAGCTTTACAAAAGGGTACAGGACAGAAAATACAGTAGGTGTAACATCTTCATCTCCTCAGCAAGCCTCTCAGCTACCCAAGTATATAATTTCTTTTGCCCTTTGGGGCATGTGTGGCTGTTGTGGACAAGAGCCAAGGTCTTAACACTGAAAAACTGTGGCCTGGATTTCCCCCCCATTTTTTTTTTCCTTTGAGATTTATTTATTTATTTGAGAGAAACAGCACGTGTGCATTCGAGAGCATACAAGTGGGGGGAGGGGCGGAGAGAGAGAAAATCTCAAACAGGTTCCACATTCAGCACGGAGCCCCCCCTTGGGGCTTGATCTCACGACCCTGAGATCATGACCCAAGCCAAAACCAAGAACCGGTCGCTCAACCGACTAAGCCACCCAAGTGCCCCTCCCCCCAATTTTTTATATTGTTTTAGTCACATCGACCCCAGTCCTTCATGCCCGCTAAAAGTTCCCTAATCCATATATAACCCAATACAGGAGATAGGCAGGTAGAACATGCTACAATTATTTTAAGTAGATTCCAATAAACAGTTCTGTGACTGTTTGGTACCTGTTCAGGTCTTTTGTCTTCTTCTTATAATTATTGGTTTGTCCGTGACTTTGTTTTTCTTGATTTGTAGTTCTTTATTTTGGATTATAAGGGTTTTTTTCCCTTCATTTGGATTCTTGTGTTGCAAATATCTGCAGGTGGACACCTGCGTTATTCCTAAGTAGGTTTGCTTCAGTCCAGGCTCTTTACTCACAAGTGCTTTTGTAAAACGTCAATATGCAGTATCACATCTGATTAAAAAGAACACCCAGGTAGAGACTTTGCTAAGTCAAGAAAGAGCATTACCCCCAAAGCCTCTGATGCCTCCTTTCTCTGTCATTATTCCTTTCTTTCTTACCAGAGATAACTGGAGTCGTAACTTGCATGCAGATCACTTCCTTGATCTTCTTTACAGTTTCAGTTTTACTACTAATGCTGTCATCCTTAATAATACAGTTTTTCCTTGCCTGTTTTTACACTTTATAGAAATAGAATAGTATTGTATGTGTTCTTTCTGTTGTTTTTTCTCAACGTTATATTTGTAAGATTCATAGATGTTGTGGCATATACCTCTATTTTCTGAGCTGCATAGTATTCCATTATTGAATATAGTAGAGTTCATTGTTGGTAGACATTGGTCTGATTTCCATTTTTGGAGGTTATGGGTAGTGCCACTACATTCTTTCACTTGTATCCTGTTGCACATATGCTCTGTAGTTACGTAGGAGTAGAACTGCCAGGTCTTAGAGTAAAGCATCTTTACCTTTACCTTAATGCCAAACTGTACTCCAAAGTGGTTCTACCCATTTTATTCCCAGAGGTAGTGTATGAGAGACTGTATTTCTGCTGCTCCACACTTGGTATTGTCATCTGTTGTATTTTTCGCCACCTGGTGAAGCAGCTCATTGTAACGAAGTTTGCATTTTTTTTTTTTTTTAAGATTTTATTTATTTGACAAAGAGAGACACAGCGAGAGAGGGAACACAAGCAGGGGGAGTGGGAGAGGGCGAAGCAGGCTTCCCACGGAGCGGGGAGCCCGACACGGGGCTCGATCCCAGGAACCTGGGATCCTGACCTGAGCCGAAGGCAGATGCTTAACCAACTGAGCCACCCAGGCGCCCCTAAGTTTGCATTTTCTTGATTACTATTGGGATGGAGCATCTTTTCATATGTTTGTCCATTTGGATTTCCCTTTTTTTGGTACCTGTTCAGGTCTTTTGTCTTCTTCTTATAATTATTGGTTTGTCCGTGATTTTGTTTTTCTTGATTTGTAGTTCTTTATTTTGGATTATAAGGGTTTTTTTCCCTTCATTTGGATTCTTGTGTTGCAAATATCTGCTCATTTTGTGGCTTTACATTATGGTATTTTTTGAGTAAAAGTTCATAATTTTAGTGTATTCAAATTTATTAATCTTTATAGTGTTTATGTGTTTTATTTAATAAAAATAGTATACTATAATGTTTCTAAAAGATTTATTGTTTTGCTTTTTGCATTTACGTTTGTAGTCATCTGTAATTTATTCGTATCTGTACACTGTGAGGTAGGGGTGACAAATTCTGTTTAACTTTTTTTTTTCCTGTTATCCTACCCAATTGGTCCCAGCACCATTCACTGAGGGAAAAGAATTGTCTTTCCCCCCCACTGGCCTGCAGTATCACCATTGTCAAAAATCAGATGTTCGTGTTTGATGGGTTTGTTTCTGGACTTTGTTCTCTTCCACTGGTTTATCTGTCTAGCCCTCCCTCAAGACCTCACCATGTTAATTACTGTAGCTTTATGGTGAGTTTGGGTGTCAGGTAGGCAAATCCTCTCACCTTGTTTTTCTTCTTTAAGCATCTTGGCTATTCTTACCCTTTGCATTTCTATATAAGTTTTAGAATTCAGTTTGTCAAATTCCATGGAAGATCCTGGTGGGATTTTCATTGGGAATGCATTTAATCAACAGATCATTTGGAAGAGAATTGACATCTTTAGAATATTGAATTGTCTAAACTTTAGGTCCTCTAATTTCTCTCAACAGTGTTTTGTAATTTTCTTTGTAGAGGTCTTATATCTACCATACCTTTTGTTAGGTTTATTGCTAGGTGTTTGGTGAGGCTATTATAAATTACTTTTTTTAAGCATCATTTCCTAATTGTGAGTTTCTCATAATTTAACTATTCAAGAGTTCTTTCTTTCTTTTTTTTTTTTTTAAGATTTTATTTATTTGACAGAGACAGATAATGAGAGCAGGAATACAAGCAGGGGGAGTGGGAGAGGGAGAAGCAGGCTTCCCGCTGAGCAGGGAGGCCGATACAGGACTCAGTCCCAGGACCCTGGGATCATGACCTGAGCTGAAGGCAGATGCTTAACGACTGAGCCACCCAGGCGCCCCAATCCTTTTTTTTTTTTTTTTTTTTTTTAAAGATTTTGAGAGCAGAGAGAGCGAGCACGGGGCGGGGGAGGGGGAGGGGAGACAGAGGGAGAAGCAGATTCCCCGCAGAGCAGGGATGCTTAACCGACTGAGCCACCCAGGCGCCCCTCAAGAGTTCTTTCTTGTTCTTTGCTTTGTTGTTATAGCTGTCTAGCATCTTTTTTATCTATAATGTCTTGAATATCTTTGTGGTTTCTTTTACAACTACTCAACTCTGCTATTGTAGTGTGATAAAGCAGCTATTATAGTACATAAATGAATGAGCAGGGCTGTGTTCCATTAAATTTTATTTATAGATGCTGAAATTTGAATTTTGTATAACTTTCATTGACATGAAATGTTCTTCTCTTTTTTTTTTTTCTTTCAACCATTTAAAAAAATCTGAAGACCATTCTTAGCTTGCTGACTATTATCGAAATAGGTGGTGAGATGGATTTGGCCCTGGGGTCATAGTTTAATGATACCTACTCTAGATTTTTGCCATGTGTTTTTGTGTTCCTTCATTGTGCCTTGATTTAAGAAAGGCCAGGAGAGTTGATGGATGGCCTTCCCTGGTGTGTTAGTGGGCATGTGTCTCTATAGGCTGTTCCTCCAGATGGGAAGCCTGACTGGGCATCAGTCTATGGGTGGGCTGTGTGGAGAGATAGGTTTCCTTCAGCCTAGTAGTTCTTAACCTTCATTGTGCTGTGCACTCCTTTTGGCAGTCTGGTGAAGCCCATGGGCCCCTTCTCAGAATAATGTTTTTAAGTGAATAAAATGAAATATGTTGGATTACAAAGGAAACTTATTGAAATACAGTTACCAAAAAAACAAATGTGGAAAAGAGTAATATGTTCATCATTAATGCACTAAATAATAAGTCCAGCGGTAGGTCTAATTATTGTAACTTTGACATAGTGATGAACATAAAAGATACTTTGAGATTTGCAACAACTGTCATGTGATATATGAAAGTACCTGTGATTCTACTAGTGACAGGTGCAGGTACTGTTGATACTGCTCTTTGTTCCCTGTGTTCAAAACAGGAAAATGCTAAATGCCAACTTAGAGGTTGATGTGAATAATGTGTGATTTTTATTCCCATTCAAGTTCACTGAATTCTGTCCATAGACCCCTGTGAGGAATCTCTTCTGGACAGCAGGGTAGAACTGCTGTTGTAGGTTGAATGGATGGAGTATATTTCTGGTGGGTTGCTCCCAAATGCCAGAATGTGGAAGACTTCACGCTGGGGTCTTAGTACCTACCCACAGAAGAAGATTTGGCTTTTATCAAACATTTTACTCAATTTCTTTATTCTCTTTTTTTGCCTGGGGTAAATTTCTGTTTGAATGTATTCTGGTGAGGAATGGGGCAGAGAGAATTTGTTACAATAGCTTTGTCTGTTTTTATGTAGAATTTTCATTCATCCTCATTTATAGCCCCATTTCTCACACTCCAGCCAAAGCCCAGCCTCCCAATTATAACTTTTTGTTTTTCAAAAACTTGTCAAGAATTTGTTAAGCTTGGGCGCCTGGGTGGCTCAGTTGGTTAAGCAACTGCCTTCGGCTCAGGTCATAATCCTGGAGTCCTGGGATCGAGTCCCGCATTGGGCTCCCTGCTCAGCAGGGAGTCTGCTTCTCCCTCTGACCCTCCCCCCTCTCATGTGCTCTCTCTCTCTCTCATTCTCTGTCTCAAATAAATAAATAAATAAAATCTTTAAAAAAAAAAAAAGAATTTGTTAAGCTTTTCTCAATTACTAATGAATGTACTTTATGTCCCCCTATCCCCACTAATCTTATGGAGCTATTTTTACATTTCTGTACTTTTATTTCTGTGGAGTCTCAGGAGGCTGTACTAGTTCAATAAATCCTCCTGAATTAGAAATCTTTTGCTTAAAAAAAACTTTACTTAGGCTCCTTCATTAAAGGGAAAAATGTTGGGCGCCTGGGTGGCTCAGTTGGTTAAGCGACTGCCTTCGGCTCAGGTCATGATCCTGGAGTCCCTGGATCAAGTCCCACATCCGGCTCCCTGCTCGGCAGGGAGCCTGCTTCTGCCTCTGACCCTCCCCCCTATCATGTGCTCTCTCTCTCTCATTCTCTCTGTCTCAAATAAATTAAAAAAAAAAAAAAAAGGGGAAAAATGTTAATAGTATATTTGTATACTTTATAAATTATATAGAGAACAGCAAATATCAAAGTAATGAGTTTATAGCTAGCTGCATGAAGAAAAGTATTAAAGCAATCATTTGTATTTTGTGTATTCATTGGCCTCTGAAAAAAATCATATCAATTAGTAATACGTATCTCTAATGTATAATAAAACAACATAGTTGATGATTGTCCTGGTTTTGTTCGTGTTGCCATCTCATGTCATCACTTCATTGAATACAAATCAGACATGTTAAAGGGGGTCTGCTTTGGTACATATTTTGTGTGTAAGGGGCACTTAATCACTCACTTGGATCATTGTAATATTTTGATTTAGATATACTGAATAGAATTTCATCTCTGTGTATTTGACTAAACCAAACTTCATGGGAGCTGTTGTATAACTGAGTGACTCTCCCTGTGCCCACTAAATAAAATTAAAGGCCAAAACCATGGTTATCACAGGAATTGGCCAACTTTTTCGTAAAGGACCAGGTAGTGCGTCTTGTCGACTTTGTGAGCCATACTGACTCTGTCACAACTAAACAGGTGTAGATAACACGGAAGTGAATGAATGGGTGTGTCTGTGTTCCGGCAAAACTTTAACAAAAACAGGAGGCCAGGCTGACATCTGCCGACCCCTGACCAGATGTTGTTTACAAGTTTGTTCTATGGTATTAGTTTTAAAAGGTGCTCTTCCTTGAAAACTTGGAGACAGGGAACTTGGTGGCCTGATATTGTTGGATTGGTTGATAGCCTTGTCTGGTATAATGAAGATGAGGTAGGTGTACGTCAGGTCATTGTCAGGTTAGGAGACTTTCTCCACTTGATTATTCATGCAGGGAGCAAATTCATTTTATAGGCCTATGATCAATCCTCTGGTGGTACAACTCCTAGCTTTGAAGTTAACATCAAAAGTAAGCCATTAAATTGGGCCACCTAGTATATTTTATAATAGCGATTCTTCTCGTTTGTTTTGAGTTTGCTGCCTTCATCAGTTATGTGAAAGTAGGTAAGAGACCAGACTCCAAAGCATGCTCTGGAGCAGGATCATTGGCCAGTTTAATGGTAGACGTGTTATCTCTTCCTGACATCAAAATAGGAGCCTTTGGCACGTGGACATTTTTTTATAAGCCTTTTAATTAAAATGTATCAGACATACTAACTGTAATTACACAACCTGATACATTTGTGTCACCATGTGTAGGCATGTATACCAATACTTGGAAATTCTTGTCCACAGAGTACTTTAAGTTGTCTGCTGTGATCATCTCAGGCTGACTTGGGGTCAGCTGCCATTCCTGGCTTCCTGTTTCCGTAGGTGCCTGTGTTTGCTTCTGCTGCCTTGGGGGAGCTGCAACAACAGAGTTAGAAAACTTCTGAAAGTAAAGTTTACTTGATTACAGAGAACTGGGCAGTTCTTTGTTCCTTGTCATCAGTGTGCGCCACTGACGTTATGATTTACAGGAAAAAGAATAGGCTTTGCTAGCTGTGATGTAGCTTACTATAGGGGATTTTCACTTGGGCCATTACAGTTACTTACTCCTTTATGAAATGATGAGTTATTGAATTTAAAAGCATGGTTGATGCGAAGGGAGAAATAAAATATGAATTATAATACCGTAGTTCAGTCAATATATATCAAATAAGTAGGATTTGGGGGTTTACTCTTTTAATTCAGTAAAGACATCTAGTGTACAAATTCAGAATCTTCCATCAAGTTTTTTTCAAGGATGGATATGTTGTGTTGGTTTTTGTTTTGTTTTGTTTTTATTTCTGGAAAATTTTTAAAATGTAAGAGTGGAAAGAACCCCCATATACCCATCACCCAACCTCAACAAAGATCAGTTCATAGGCCAGTTTTTATTTCTTCTTTATAACCAGATTGTTTTGAATCATGCCAGCTTTTTAAAACTGAAAATTTAATTTTTACTTAGTTTAGGCACTTTGGGAACTCTACAACATCACCGAAGAATTTGCAATATAGAAAATCAAGAAGTAAGGACTATGATGTATATAGTGATAATGATATCTGCAGTCAGGAATCAGAAGATAATTTTGCTAAAGAGCTTCAGCAGTATATACAAGCTAAAGAAATGGCAAATGCTGCTCAATCCTTACCATTTCCTGAAGAATCAGTGAAGAAAGAGGGAGTGAAGGATACCCAAAAAGGTAAGGGTGAAACTATTTTGTCATTTAAAGTTTATCTAGATAATCAGTCACAGTTGTCCATATATGGACTGAGGTTTGGGGAGGGGGGGAGATTTTCTCCTGTGTTTTATCTCATAGTAACATCATGTTTTCCATGGATCTTTACATCAGATGTGAGCTTGCATGGCCTGAGACGCCCACTCCAGGCCCCCCCCCGCCCCAACCCGGCCATTCCATGTACAAATGGATAGTTTACAAGAGGGTTATCAAGGGCCATGACTGCTTTGAAAGGGAGAATGCTAAATTCTGCATATATGAAGGACAAGATGTGCCTGTTTGTATTGCTGTCAGTTTAGAGAGGAATTGACTTAATGTCTGATACAGTGGTGTGTCAGACTATATATTCTTTTAGATTACTAAAATAAAATATATCCTTTTAGATTACTTAAATGAAACTTAGTCGTAGATATGAGGACAGATGACAACTATATATGAAGTTTATTCTCTTGTTTTACTGCTTTTTTTTTTAATAGTCTTATTTTATTTTCTAACGTAATCTGTACACTCAGTGTGGGGCTCAAACTCACAACCCCAGGATCAAGAGTTGTATGCTCTACTGACTGAGCCAGCCGGGCTCCCCTATATAAAGTGTTTTCAATGGAAATTCTGACAGTAGTATGTGAAGTCAGTTTAAACATCTGAAGCTTTTGCTCCTATAGTGCTATGGCAATTCCTAATTAGCTCCATTATACTCTGAACCTTTCGAAAGGATCTGACTTGGGGCAAGCAGGAGTCGGACGCTTAACTGACTGAGCCACCCAGCGCCCCTGTAGAGTGTACTTTAAACTGCTGTTGTGCCTTCATGTTCTCATAAATTAAACTTTTAACACTTAGTGTGTAAGATTTAAACACACAAGATTACCTTTCTTGTTTTTAGCTGTTAAACAAAAAAATAAAAACCTTAAAGCTGTTCAGAAAAATGGTAAACAGAAGAAAATGAAGCGAAAATGGGCTGGCGCCGGACAGAAAGGATCGAACGCTTCACTGCGGAACAGTGGCTCGCAGGAACAGGTACAAGAGTGTAGGCGTGCAGGAGGACACCTACATGCTGCCGAATTTTTATCTTACCCCTCAGTGACGAGCCACAAAACGAGGGTTCTCTGATGGTGAAAAATCTCCTCACCATCAGTGGGCTCTCCACGTTCTTCCTTGTCACTGTCGCCGCTGCCTTCCCTCTCGCCCGTTAGCGGCCAGCACCTCTGTTAAGCCTTAGTGTTGTACCTGTCTACCTGACTACATGCACACAAGTCCCTTGATTTTGGAGTGTTGTACTGTCAATGGCTGGGAAAACAGGGGAAGCAGGGAGAAGATAAAGTGGCCAAGAGAACTCTTCAGAAGTCACAGAGTCTTACAGAGTTTCTACTGTTGTGGTCCCTGTGGAAATTAAAACTGAATATTTCTGAGCAATGACCTTACAAAGCACCCCCACCCACCTGGTATCTTGATTTTGCTCTGTAGAAGTTCTTCTTCCTTAGTCTGTGGATGTATTCAGGATAGGACAGTAAGGACTGTGCTTTTCTGAGGGCTTCTAAACTAACTTTTTTTGTTAGACTTGGTCCAGAAGACAAGAGTTAGGGGTGGTAAAACGTTAGAAAGATCAGATATTATAGATTAAAGTGTATTTATATAAAATCTTGCCCTGCTTCCATATTTTACAAATGAGGACTCTGAAGCCCTGGGGGTTCAGGTAACTGCTCAGAGTCACACAGGGCCAGGCCACAACTGGAACTTTATTTCCTGACCCCGTCAGTATTCCCTGTGATTCATTTGGTTTACATTGACTCAAATGATTATTCAGCTGACCGCCCTTTTACATGAGGAATGGATTGTAAACATGTATGTTAGAATTTAATAACATAGTCAAATAAAACCAAAGATTTACACTGACACATCTTTATTAGACACATAATTTTGATGGTGTTTAAGTGGAAATTTGACATTATTACAAAGTAGATCACATAAATGTAGTCAGGTCCCTTCTTTGCACATACTGAATTCCTAAAACTATTCAGAAATTTGGTAGGCAAAAGCTATAAATTGTACACAAGTTAACACACTAAAAATGGTTTATGTTTCTAAAAAGCCATTAAAATGAATTAGGAAATTCCCCTTTTGTTTTTATGTAAAAGTCACCTTTTGTTTTTATATCTGTTGCCATCTTTGAGGTTATATTTATAGTTATGTTTGTTAACTTGAGCTGGTTATTATTCCCTGCTCTCACTCAGTGAGCATCTCATTGAAATTAAAGCACACGCTGCTTTTGGTTCACCTTATGGTTTCCAGTTTTGACTCCACTGTTCTCAAGAGCCTTATTCCTAGACTTTGGTTTTTATCACAAGTAGTAGCACTTTCATTTTTTGAAAATTTTTATCCAATTTTTAAAAAGGGCAAAGTACAATAAAATATTCAAATTGCACAAACACTGATATTCGATGCTGGAATGCTGTTATAATTGGCAGAATATTTATTTTTGAACTGATGTGCAAAAGTTCAGATCTTACAAATGAAGGCCAATTTAGAAGAGTCACTTTTTAATGTTTTAAAGGTGGTTAAAATAATTTTGTGCAACGGAATAAAATATTTAAATTTCTATTTCTCACATTTAGTTCTTTGTTTTTGTTTTCAAAGGGTGATAAACCTAAAGAGAAGCAGCAGCGTGTGAGAATGAGTCAGGGATTCATCAACCAACATACAGTGGAACGCAAGGGGAAACAAATTTGTAAATATTTTCTTGAAAGGAAATGTATTAAGGTATAAAAAACTACATAAGCAAAAATATACTAAAATGTAAAGTATAGCAAAAATGTACTAAAGCCAACTCCTGTTTCCATTGGATAGTCTAAAAGCATACCTGTACATTTTTTAACTGTTTCCTTCTGGAAAAGGTTTGACTAGAAAACTTTATTGAAATATTCTTTTATGTTTAAGAAAGATACTTTTTAAAAAATGCTTTGTGTTAAAAATGTTTAGGACTTAACAAGATTTTAAGCAGGTATGTGTGGTGTGGTTATAAGATAACTTTAAGAATTAGATTATAGTAAAAAAAAAGTTTATACTTTAGTGTTTCTAAGACTTTCTGGAATCATTTGCATATCTTAAGTTTAGTAAGAATTGAATGACTTAACTTTGAGAAATAATGGCTTTTCCTTGTTCCTTTTGGCCCAGGGAGACCAGTGTAAATTTGATCATGATGCAGAGATAGAGAAGAAAAAGGAAATGTGTAAATTTTATGTACAAGGATATTGTACCAGAGGTGAAAACTGTCTGTATTTGCATAATATCCTTTATCACAACGTATAATAACTTTACTTTTTCTAAATATTTACTTGAACATTTTAAATATGTATAATTTTGAATGAAACCCGTGTTTTAGCTATGGTAAAATTATGTTATCCACGCCCAACTCCATATCAAAGTGGTTAAATTGTATAGATTTTTTTTTTTTCCCCATGAAAGAAAAGATGGATTCTTTAGTAATTCTCTCAAATGAAGATCCTTCACCTGGGTAGTATAGCAGCAGGTTCACGAGAGGGACCTATTCAGCCCCCAGAAAGACTGTCAGAATTTCTGCTGTGACAATAACTAATTGTATCTATAGTCATGTAAGCTACTTTGTTGTTTTTGTTTTTTTTTTAATGATTTTTTTTAATTTTTACTTTTTTATTTTTAAAAGATTTTATTTATTTATTTGAGAGAGAGAGAGCTAGTGAGAGCAGAAACACAAGCAGGAGGAGTGGGAGAGGGAGAAGCAGGCTTCCTGCCGAGCAGGGAGCTGGATGCGGGGCTGGATCCCAGGACCCTGGGATCATGACCTGAGGCGAAGGCAGATGCTTAACGACTGAGCCACCCAGGCGCCCCTAAATGATTTTATTTTTAAGTAATCTCTACACTCAGTGTGGGACTCAAACTTACAATTCCGAGATCAAAAATTGCATGCTCTACTGATTGAGCCAGCTAGGTGCCTTTATATAAGCTACTTTGTTAAAAAAAAAACAAAACAGGAATTGCGTAATTTGAGAGTACTTATTTTCTGTATATTCTGTACTGAATAGAGGTTAATTGTCCCTTAATTTGGAAAATAACCCTAACTCTTCAGTGCATATGGTACAGACATGTTGTAAAAACATGGAACATAAACATTTTAGGGTAATAGCACCTTTGGGCACCATAAAAGTTGTTTTCCTTCAGTGATTCAAAGAAAGAATCTGAAATTCTAACTTGAGAGTTTTTTCCTAGAAAATAATATTGAAGTTATTTAAATTGATCCTATTTTAAATGGCCTTATATCTGACGGATTCAGATTTGTAAGACCTATCATTGTTATTGACTTTAATTCCCCCACCCCAAAAGAATGCTTTAAAAATAATCACATATCGGGCTCCTGGGTGGCTCAGATGGTTAAGCGTCTGCCTTCGGCTCAGGTCATGGTCCCGGGGTCCTGGGATCGAGTCCCGCATCAGGCTTCCCGCTCCTTGGGAGCCTGCTTCTCCCTCTGTTTCTCTCTGTCTCTCATGAATAAATAAATAAAATCTTTAAAAAATAAAAATAAAAATAAAAAATAAAAAAATAAAAATAATCACATTTCTTAATGTATTTAAAATACACATCCTTTTCTTGTATCAGTGAAATATGCCTGTAGTTTATTATAAAAATGGATATGAAGGGAAAGTATCCTATGATAGCCATTAAACTTGATTTATATAATTATTCTAAAATTAGATGTTTCATGTAATTCAATTAATAATCTATTGTCTCATATTTTAAATAGAGAATTTAGTGTTTCTGCTATTAGGAAAGGCCTTTATATAGGGAAAATAAAATCAGTAAATTAATAACAAATTATTGGATTTAAGTTGTTCTCTTCCTTAACATTTGGATTACATGAATATCCTTGCAAGTTTTACCATACAGGAACAAAATGTTATCAGGGTGAATATTGCAAGTTTTCACATTCTCCACTGACTCCTGAAACACAAGAATTGTTGGCCAAAGTAGGTACAATTTTAAGTTTCGTTTTTCTTTTTTAAAGAATATATTTGAACTAAGGGTAAGAATTTTGAAAACACACTGTTTTTTAAGGTTATGATATGGGATATATTAGGACTGACAGTCTTAGAATTTAATTCCATTTAGAAAATTATTATTCATTTGTATATATTTTTTGTAGCTTAAAGGAAAATTTATACTTATTGCTGGTGAGAACATTCCAGTTTATACTTATACAAGCAATAGGTATAAACATTTTTTTTTAATGATTCTATTTATTTATTTGAGAGGAGAGAGGGAAAGTGAGAGAGAGCATGAAGCAGGGGGTGGGGGGGGGAGAGCGGGGAGGGGCAGAGGGAGAGGGACAAACAGAGTCCTTGCTGAGCAAGGAGCCCGATGCAGGGCTCGATCCCAGGACCCTGAGGTCATGACCTGAGCCAAAGGCAGACGCTCAATGACTGAGCCACCCAGGTGCCCCAGTGTCTTCAAAATTAAATTGAAATATAAGCAAAAATAAAAGATTCTCCTGGAACCAAGCCATATCATCTTGTGGCAGTAAGTTCTGTTGAGCGTATGCAAATATTAGAAAATCAAAGGTGCTTATTTCTGGATATTTTTAGGGTATAAAATTGAAGGCTTACCCTGGAATTAAAGTCATACCAATTATTTTGTTATTAGTGTGAAATATATATGGAAAAAAGATAGATGTAAAAGTCATCTTTCGGGCCTTAGAGTAAATATTAGATGATTACTAGGATAAATAGTATTGGACTCACTAGACAAGAGCATTATGATGTACCTGAATTAGACATTGATGCATAAAAATGATTGTGTGATTTTTTTTTTTTCATATTAGGTTTTGGATACTGAAAAGAAGTCATCATGAAAATAAAAGGCATAAAGGTAAAATTAGCACTTAGCACATTTCTTTTTTTTTCTCTGAAACATCTCTAGAAATTGGCTTGGAAACATAGGACTTTTCCATTTTCTAAAATAGAAATCTTTTTCTTTATCTTCCCCTGCTAAAAAATTAAAAAATATTTGATACATATATATAGATATATATGTCCGTCTCCTTGGACCTGCTTCCCTCTCTTGGTTTGTCACTATCTTTTGTATTTTTATTCTCTTTTGTTTCTTTGTAGATTTACCAAATGTGTATGATGCACTAAATAGTGTATTTAGTTTTGCTTGTGTTTGATTTTATTTAAACAGTTTGGATTTAATTTAAACAATAAATATTCTGTGTACTTATTGTTGACTTGCTATTTTCACTCAACATTATACTTCTTTTGGGGGAGGGTGAGAGAGAGAGTGCGAGCAAGCGAGCAGGGGAGAGAGGCAGAGGGAGAGAATCCAAGCAGGGTCCATGCCCAGTGTGGAGCCCGATGCAGGGCTTGATCTCATGACCCTGAGATCATGACCTGAGGTGAAATCAAGAGTAAGACATTGAACCGACTGAGCCACCCAGGTGCCCCTCAACATTATGCTTCTGGGATTCATACATGTAGATGCACATAGCTCTTATTCATTAATTTATACTTCTATATAGCATTTCATTCTATGAATATGTCAAAATTTATTTAGTCTTTCTACTACTGATGAACATTTAGGTTATTTTCAATTTTTTAAATATAAAGTATTATAAATAATTATGTATGTCTTTTGATGTAAATGTGTGTGAGTTATTCTGGATATAAACCAAGGAGTAGAATTGTATCATCTTAAAATTTAAGATAATACCAATCTTTTCTAAAGTAGTTAGAATAGTTTATACTCCCACCAACTGTGTAAAAGAACCCTTGTTGCTCTATGCTTGCCGATACTTTGTATTGTCAAGACTTTCATTTATTGGGCATAAAAATGATGTCACGTAGCTTTTTTTCATGAAATTCAGCATCTTTTCTTACACTTACTAGCTTTGAGTTTCATTTTTGGTGAAATCCCTGTTAGTGTTTTTTGCCTATGTTTCTTTTGGGCTGATTATTCTTTTTTTTTTTTTTAAGATTTTATTTATTTTTTAGAGAGTGAGCGAGAGAGAAACAGCATGAGAGGGAAGGGGTCAGAGGGAGAAGCAGGCTCCCCGCTGAGCTGGGAGCCCGATGTGGGACTCGATCCCAGGACTCTGGGATCATGACCTGAGCCGAAGGCAGACGCTTAACCATCTGAGCCACCCAGGCGCCCTTGGGCTGATTATTCTTTATAAATTGATTTTATATATCCCTGATATAATCCTTTATGAGGTATGTGTGGCAAGTCTTCTCCCATTTTGTGGGCTGTCTTTTCCGTTTTTCTGAAGTGCCTCAATGAGCAGAATTACTTGTTTTGGCAATCTTCTTAAGTTCTGGAGTTTTGCTTTTTACATTTATTTTTTACTCCTTTGGAAAATGTATCAGTTAACACCATAATGGTGTTAACAACCAAAAGCCTCTCACTAGCATATAAAAATAAACATTTCTTTTTCCGTGCATCTGCAGATTGGCTGGCAGTAGTCCGGGCCTGTCTAGGCTGGCTTTGGCTGGGTTGGCTCTGCTTCATGAAGCAGGTTGACTAGGATGGTTCTGCTCCACGTTGGTCTCCGTCTCCTCCTGGGACCAGTGGGCTAGCTGGGATGTGTTCCTCTCATGGCATTGACAGAAGCTCAAGGCTTGTTTGCTTCACATTTGCTCACAACCCATTGGCCTAAGTAAGTTACACAGCCAAGCCCAAAGTCAAGAAGTATGGAAGTACACTCTACTTAGACTTTCCACATGGGAGGAGCTGCTGAATTACATGAAAAAGAGGGTGGTTGTGGCTATAGAGAGAAAAGAATTAAGACTAATTGGCTTCTTTTTGAATGGTATGTGGTAGGGACCTAATTTTTCCTCTTTCCTTATACAGATAAGCAGCCTCCCTGCACCATTCAACTGAAAAGACTGCCCTTTCCCCACTGGTCTGTAATGCCTGCCCCCTCTACTATATATGTTTCCTTCAAACAAAGATGGATTTCTGGGGTATCTTCTCTGTTTCATTTCTCTCTTTCTCTAATACTCTGTCTCAATTACTGGAACTTTACTGGATTTTATATAGTTTGATAGTTTAATGCTGTTCTACACAAATGCCTTGGCTATTTGGGGCCCTTTTAAAAAAATTTTTTTTGGTAAGATTTTATTTCTTTATTTGAGAGAGAGAGAGAGCACAAGTTGCGAGGGGCGGGGGGGAGGGGACAAGCAGACTCCCCGCTCAGCGAGGAGTCCAACACAGGGCTTGATCCCAGGACCCCGAGATCATGACCTGAGTTGAAGGCAGACGCTTAACCGACTGAGCCACCCAGGTGCCCCTATTTTGCACCCTTTTACTTTGATACAGTTTTCCCTTGATACTTTTTGGTAAATTTACAAAGTGTAAAACTTAATACTTTTTGGTAAATTTACAAAGTTGCATGACATCACCATATTCAATTTTAGAATGTTTTTGACACCCACAAAAAAGATCCTTTGTACCCATTTTCATTCACTCCCCAGTCCCATCTCCAGTCTCCTTTCTGTCTCTAGATTTGCCTTTTTTGGGCATTTCATATAAATTTCAGTATGTGGTCTTTTGTCTGGCTCTTCATACAGTATAATATTTTTGAGATTCATCCATGCCTTATAGGTCACTAATTTTTTTAATAATTGCCCCATTATTCCATTGTATGGTTAGGGATTTCTGGGTACTATGGTAAATATATGTTTAACTTTTTAAGAACTGTGACATTGTTTTCCAAAGCGACTGCATCATTTTGCATTCTAGACAGCAAAGTAAGAAGATTTTAGTTTCTCAACATCTTCACCCATACTTGTTACTGTCACAGTTGTATCTACTATGGTTGTAATTTGCATTTTTTCTAATGATTAATGGTGTTAAGCATCTTTTCATGTGCCATTGGTCAGTTCAGATCTTTACCCATTCTATAATTGGATCATCATCTTACCATTGAGTTGTAAGAGTTCTTTGTTGGATAAAAGTCCATTATCACATATATGATTTAAAAATATTTTGTCTCAATATATGGCTTTGTCTTTTTGTCCTAATTTGTGCTTGCCTTTTTAAAATAGTATCTATTGAAGCATGAACACTTTAATTTTGATGCAGTAAGTTTATAATTTTTTTTATGGATCATGCTTTTGATGATGTAGTTCTGTGTCTAACACAAGATCACAAGATTTGCTTTTATGTTTTCTGCTAAAAATTTGTATAGTTTTAGCTCTTATATTTATGTCTATGATTCCTTTTTGAGTTAATTCTTAGAAAAGTATGAGCTAAAGGGGCGCCTGGGTGGCTCAGTTGGTTAAGCGACTGCCTTCGGCTCAGGTCATGATCCTGGAGTCCCGGGATCGGGTCCCGCATCGGGCTCCCTGCTCGGTGGGGAGTCTGCTTCTCCCTCTGACCCTCCTCCCTCTCATGCTCTCTGTCTCTCATTCTTTCTCTCAAATAAATAAATAAAATCTTTAAAAAAAAGAAAAGAAAAGTATGAGCTAAGGATCTAAATTTTTCTTTTTGCATATAGATAGCCAGTTGCCCCAGCTCCATTTTAAAAAAAGGTTACCCTTTCTCCACTGAGTTGCCTTGGCACCTTTGTCAGAAATCAGTTGTCTATGAATGTAAGAATTTCTTTCTGGGGCGCCTGGGTGGCTCAGTTGGTTAAGCGACTGCCTTCGGCTCAGGTCATGATCCTGGAGTCCCGGGATCGAGTCCCGCATCAGGCTCCCTGCTCGGCAGGGAGTCTGCTTCTCCCTCTGACCCTCCCCCCTCTCATGTACTCTCTCTCATTCTCGCTCTCTCAAATAAATAAATAAATCTTTAAAAAAAAAAAAAAGAATTTCTTTCTGGACTTTCAGTTGTGTTCTGTTGCTTTATATGTTTATCTTTGTATGTTATATGTTATGCTCTATATGTTTATCTTTACATGCTATCACACTATCTTGTGATAGTGTCTTGTGATTACTATAGCTTTATACTAAGTTTTTTTAAAATAAGGAAATATAAGCTGTCAGTTTTATTCGCCTTTTCAAAGATTGTTTTAGCTATTTGGTGTCTTTTGTTTTTCCATATAAATTTTAGGGTCAGCTTGTAAATTTCTGCAAAAAACCTATGCTGCGATTTTGACAGAGTTTGCATTGATCTGTGGAGAATTGCCACGTTCTGTGAACATGGAATGTATCTCAATTTATTTAGATCTTTAATTTCAGTTTTGTAGTTTTCAGTGCACAGTGTGTTGTTTACGCTTCTTTTGTTAAATTTATTTACACACTTTTTTTCCTCTTTGATGCTGTTGATGAAAGGAATGTTTTTTAAACTTCATTTTTGGATCATACATTCATAGTGTAGAGAAAGAGAACAAATTTTTGCATTTTGATCTTGTTTTCTGAGACTTTTCTGAACTCATTTATTAGCTCTATAGGTGTATGTGTGTTCCTTAGGAATTTCTACATATTTTCTGAAAAATAAAGACAGTTTTACTTCTCCTTTCTAATCTGGATGCCTTTTATTTCTTTTTCTTGAGTGATTTCATTGGCTCAAACCTCCTATGCAATGTTAAATGGAAGGGACAACAGACATCATGGACTTTTTCCTGATACTAGGCAAAAAGCATTCAGTCCTTCACCTTTGTGTATGATTCAGCTGTAGATTTTTCAAGATACTCTTCACTGGTTTGAGGAAGTTCCCTTCTATTCTTATTTTTTCAAGAACTTTTATCGTGGATGGGTGTTGGGTTTTGTCACATGTGTTTTCTGTATCTACTGAGATTCTCACATCATTTTTTCCCTTTATTAATATGATATACTACAATATTGGGACATATTCATATGTTAAATCAGTCTTGCATTCTTGAGACAAGTCCCACTTGGTCATGGTGTATAACCTGTTTTGAATATTTTTGGATTTGGTTTGCTAATATTTTATGAAGGAGTTTTATTCTATTCATGTATAACTTTTTTTTTTTTTTTTAAGATTTTATTTATTTTTTAGAGAGCGAGCAAGAGAGAAACAGCATGAGAGGGGAGAGGGTCAGAGGGAGAAGCAGGCTCCCCACTGAGCCGGGAGCCCGATGCGGGACTCCATCCCAGGACCCTGGGATCATGACCCGAGCCAAAGGCAGACGCTCAACCATCTGAACCACCAAGGCGCCCTGTATAGCTTTCTTTTATGATGTCTTTTTCTAGCTTTGGTATCAGGGTAATACCAGCTTCCTCGAGTGAATTGAGAGGTGTTTCTTCTTCCTTTATTTTCTGGAAGAGTTTTTGAAGGATTGATATTATTTCTTCTTTAAATGTGTGGTAGAATTCACCAGTGAAGACACCTGAGCCTGAGCTTTTCTTTAACAGAAGATTTTACATACTGATTCAATTTCTTTTGTTTTCATAGGTTTATTCAGGTTTTCTTTCTTGAATCAGTTTTGGTAATTTGTATCTTCCTATTAATTTTGCCGTTTCATCTAAGTTGTCTACTTTGTTGGCATGAATTTGTCCATAGTACTGTTTTATAATCCTTTTGATTTCTATATCAAGAAGATTTTTGTATCAAGAAGAGATTTCTGTGTCAGTAGTTTTGAGTTCTGTATCATACTGATGTCCCCTTTTTTGTTCCTCATTTTGGTACTTTTGAGTACCTTTTTTTCTTGGTCAGTGTAACTAAATGTCTGTTTTGTTGATCTTTCAAAGAACCAACTTAGGTTCATTGATTGTTTGTTTTTTTTTTATTGATTTCCACTCAGTTTTTATTTACTTACTTCCTTCTGCTTGCTTTCTGTTTCGTTTGCTCCTATGTAGATTTTAGAGTCAGTTTGCCAAATCCCTCTTCCCCAGCAAAGCAAAACAAAAACAAATGCTTTGGGGTTTTTTTATTGGAATTTCTTTAGCTGTATGCATCAGTTTGGAAACAATTGACAGCTTTTTGAGAGTGAGTTCCCCAGTCCATGAATATGTTGTCTATAGCCTTTTGAATGTCTTTTTGTTAAAGTTATCATTTTCCCCAGTGGGCCTACACATTTTTGTTATTTTTTTTTCTTAAATACTTTATAATTTTGGATGTTATTCTCACTCATATTTTTATTTATTTTTATTTTATTTTTTTTAAAGATTTTATTTATTTGACAGAAAGAGGCTGAGAGAGGGAACACAAGCAGAGGGAGTGGCAGAGGGAGAAGCAGGCTCCCCACTGAGCAGGGAGCCTGATGCGGGGCTGCATCCCAGGACCCTGGGACCATGACCTGAGCCGAAGGCAGACGCTTAACGACTGAGCCACCCAGGCGCCTCCTCATTCATATTTTTAAAGTTGATTTTTCTGAATTAGCAACTTTGCTAATTTCTCTGTTAAATTTGATCATCTGAGTAAGTTTTTCTGGATTTTTCTGTAGACATATCATCTGCATATAATGATTTTTATTCCTTGTGCAGTTCTTATTTATTTTTATTTTTCTTGTGTTGTTGACTAAGGCCTTAATAGTACAAGATTTAGAAAATCAACTGTATTGAAGTATACATTACATATAATGCATTCATTTTAAGCTTACAGTTCAGTTACATTAAGTATATTCACACTGTTTTGCATCCAATCTTCAGAACTTTTTTATCTTGCAAAACTGAAACTCTGAACCCATTAAACAGTAACTACCCACTCCCTCCCTCCCCCAAGCCCTTGGCAGCCACCATTCTCCTTTATGTCTCTGTGATTTTGATGACTCCAGGTACCTCATGTAAGTGGAATCCTCGAGTATTTGTCTTTTTGTGACTGGCTTATTTCACTTAACATAATGTCCTCAAGGTTCATTAATGCAGCATGTGTCAGAATGTCCATCCTTTTTCAGACTGAGTAATATTCCATTATATGTATCTACCACATTTTGCTGAACCATACATCTGTTGATGGTTACTTGGGTCGCTTCCATGTTTTAACTATTGTAAATAATGCTGTTATGAACATAATGTACAAATATCTTTTTGAAAATCTCCTTTCAGGACACCTGGGTGGCTCAGTCGGTTGGGCATCTGCCTTCAGTTCAGGTCATGATCTCAGGGTCCTGAGATTGAGTCCTACATCAGGCTCCCTGCTCAGCAGGGAATCCTGCTTCTCCCTCTGCCTGCAGCTCCCCCTGCTTGTGCTCTCTCTCTCAAATAGATAGATAGATAGATAGATAGATAGATAGATAGATAGATAGATAGATAGATAGATAAAATCTTTGAAAATCTCCTTTCAATTTTGGGTTTATACCGGATGTGGAATTGTTGGGCCATGTGATAATTTTGTTCTTAATTTTTTGAGGAACCACCATAGTGTTTCCATAGTAGCTGTACCATTTTACATTCTCACCAGAAATATACAGGATTCCAATTTCTCCACATTCTCACCAATACTTGTTACTTTCTTTTTCTTTTTTTATTTGATAGTAGCCATCCTAATGGGTATGAGGTAGTAGGCATCTCATTGTAGTTGTAATTTGCATTTTCCTAATTAGTGATGTTGTGCATCTTTTCATGTGCTTATTGGCCATTTGTATATCATCTTTGGAGAAATTCAAAGACTACTCAAGTCCTTTGCACAATTTTGAATAGGGTTTTTGTTGTTGTTTTAGGGAGTTCTCTGTATATTCTGGATTTTAATCACTTAGGATATATATGCCTTGCAAATATTTTCTCCCATTCTGTAGGTTGCCTTTTCACTCTTGATAGTGTCCTTTGATGTACAAGATTTTAAAATTTTCATGAAATCCAGTTTGTCTTTCTTTTTCTTGTCCTGCCTGGGCCTGTAGTCTCATATTCAAGAAATCACTGCTGAATCCAATGTTGTCAAACTTGTATCCTGTCTTTTTTTCTAAAAGTTTTATAGTTCTATCTCTTAGTTTAAGTCTTTAATTCATTTTGAGTTGATTTTTGTATGCAGTGTTTGGGAAAGGTTCCAACTTCATTCTTTTACACTTGGATATCCAGTTTTGCCAGCCTGTCGTTTCCCCATTGAATGGCTTTGGCACCCTTGTCAAAAATTGATTGTGTATGGGAAGGTTTATTTCTGGGCTCTGTGTTCTATTCCATTGGTCTTATATGTTTGTCTTTATGCCAATACCATACTGTTTGATTACTGTAGCTTTATAGTCAGTTGTGAAATTTAGAAGCGTGAGCCTCAGCTTTGTTCTTTTCAAGATTATTTTGGCTCTTTGGGGCCTATTGAAATTCCATATGAATTTTAGGATAGATATTTGTTTCTGCAAAAAATGTCATTGTGATTTTGATAGTGAATGCATTGAAGTTGTAGATCACTATTGACAACTATATCAAGTCTTTCCAATTCATGAACATGGGATATTTTTCCATTTATTTATGTCTTTATCTTCTTTCAGAAATGTTTTGTAGTTTTCATTGTACAAGTCTTTCACCATCTTGGTTAAGTTGATTCCTAAGAATCTTATTCTTTTTGAGGTATAGTAAATGGAATTATCTTCTTGACTTCCTTTTCAGATTGTTTATTGTTAGTATATAGAAATGCAACTGATTCTTGTGTTGACTTTATATCCTACTGGTTTGTTGAATTCATTAATTCTTTTTTTAAAGATTTTATTTATTTATTAGAGAGAGAGAGCATAAGAGAGGGGAGGGTCAGAGGGAGAAGCAGACTCCCCACTGAGCAGGGAGCCCTATGCGGGACTTGATCCTGGGACTCTGGGATCATGACCTGAGCCTAAGGCAGTTGCCCAAACAACTGAGCCACCCAGGCACCCTTCATTTATTAGTTCTAACAGTATTTTTGTGGAAGCTTTAAGGTTTCTTACGTATAGATCATAGATTCTACATATAGATTAAAGATATATAGGGCGCCTGGGTGGCTCAGTTGGTTAAGCGACTGCCTTCGGCTCAGGTCATGATCCTGGAGTCCTGGGATCGAGTCCCGCATCGGGCTCCCTGCTCGGCGGGGAGTCTGCTTCTCCCTCTGACCCTCCTCCCTCTCATGCTCTCTGTCTCTCATTCTCTCTCTCTCAAATAAATAAATAAAATCTTAAAAAAATAAATAAATAAAATAAAATAAAATAAAAGATTATAGATATATAGATGAATGTTTTTTTTTAAAGATTTTATTTATTTATTTGACAGAGAGAGACACAGCGAGAGAGGGAACACAGGCAGGGGGAGTGGGAGAGGGAGAAGCAGGCTTCCCGCAGAGCAGGGAGCCCAGTGCGGGGCTCGAACCCAGGACCCTGGGATCATGACCTGAGCCGAAGGCAGATGCCTAACGACTGAGCCACCCAGGTGCCCCTAGATGAATGTTTTCTTAACATGATAAAATATATTATACCTTAATAAAAAAATGAGCATCATACTTAATGGGGAAACAATGGAGGCATTTCCACTAGAAGAGTTTATGTCCAGCGGGACTGCCTAGTTTCTGAAAGTTGAATAGAATTCCCCTCTGAAAGCATCTGTATCCAGTGCTAGTGTCATTTAAGAATGTCCTTGATGAAACAGTAAAAATTATTAATGTTGAAAAAGAGAAAGACATGTATCATATGACCTCACTGATATGAGGAATTCTTAATCGCAGGAAGCAAACTGAGGGTTGTTGGAGTGGGGGATGGGGTGGGAGGGATGGGGTGGCTGGGTGATGGACATTGGGGAGGGTATGTGCTATGGTGAGCGCTGTGAATTGTGTGAGACTGTTGAATCACAGATCTGTACCTCCGAAACAAATAATGCAATATATGTTAAGAAAAAAAAAGAAGAAGAAGGTAGCAGGAGGGGAAGAATGAAGGGAGGGAAATCGGAGGGGTAGACGAACCCTGAGAGATGATGGACTCTGAAAAACAAACTGAGGGTTCTAGAGGGGAGGGAGGTGGGAGGATGGGTTAGCCTGGTGATGGGTATTGAGGAGGGCACATTCTGCATGGAACACTGGGTGTTAGGCACAAACAATGAATCATGGAACACTACATCTAAAACTAATGATGTAATGTATGGGGATTAACATAAGAATAAAAAAAATTATTAATGTTGTTAAACCTTTATTCTTGATATATGTCTTGTCAGTATTATGTATAGCAAAATGGGAAGGTGTATAAAGTATTTCTACGTACTCAATGGTATTCTCAAGGAAAAACATTTGTGTGCTTTTATCTTAATTGCAAGCTAAATTAGCTGTATTTTTTCATGAATACTCAAAAGAACAACTGAGGGGCAAACTTTTTTTCAGATGTGGATGTTTGGCAGGCACTTTTTCAAAAATGAATGAAATGACCCCATTACTTCAAGGAAAATAACTGAAAATATTTGTTACCAATGATAAAATTCTGGCTTTTGAGCAAAATTTATAATTTTGGAACATTTGATCTGTCTCTGCGAGCTTGAAAGTTTTCTTACACTTTTTGGTCAGGTTGGTTGGTGATATTAAGGACTAGTGATATTTTAAATGTGGTGTTTTAAATAATGTATAATGAAACATTTGAAAGGTATGCATAAATTAGTAAGCTAATATTTCCAAATAAATAATGCATGGTGTTACAAAATTATGCATGGGTTAAACATCCATTCAACCTATAATATAGATTACTGGGTTTTAATATAACAGTACAAGAAGTTCCTTCTTGTTTCAGATTTTATATTGCAACTGGAAATTTGGTTGCATTTGTTTTAGTATTTATTTGCCCACCACTTTATTTTTTAGCTTTTTGAATAAGTTTTAGCCTTTCTTCTATGGAGTATATAGTTGGGTTTTGTTCTGTGAGCCAAACATAAAATCCTTTGCTTCTTTTGATAAGTGAATTAAGCCCATTCACATTTATTGAAATGACTGAACATTTGGGTTAGTTTCTTACATTTTGTATTATAGTTACTGTGTAAATTATGTTACATTTGTGTGTTTTCCCTCTATGATGCATTCTTTTTTTGCTCTTTTATAAATTTTGCTTTCTTCATCTCATTTTTATTTTTATTTTTTAAAGATCTTATTTATTTGACAGCGACACAGCAAGAGAGGGAATACAAGCAGGGAGAGTGGGAGAGGGAGAAACAGGCTTCCCGCTGAGCAGGGAGCCCAATGCGGGGCTCAATCCCAGGACTCTGGCACCATGACCTGAGCTGAAGGCAGACGCTTAACGACTGAGCCACCAGGCTCCCCTCTTCATCTCATTTTTATTCTTTTTGTTCTTTTTCCACTTTTATCCAATAAACCTTATTAAGTTTCCATTAAAATCTGTCCTGCCTTGTAATATAGTCTACATTTTTGACATGATCCCCCTTTTTGTATCATTTCTGACTTCAGTCAGCTCTTGTTTCATTACTTGCATTTTTTTGTTCAGTTTTTGTCTTAGTTTTTGAATTTCAGTTGAGGTTGTTTTTTCATATTCCTAAACAGGGATATTTATTTCAGTTTGGATTTTTGTGTTACAGTTTTCTGCTGCTGCATGGTTTTCTTGGGGGGCGAAGGGAGTAGGGGTGGCTAAGTTGGTAATTTGTACTGGCTGATGTGTTTTTGTTGTTTTTTTCCTGTAGTTTTGTATAGATGAAGAATGCTTATGCCTACGCCTGTTCAAGACTGTTGATTTGGAGTGGTTTACAAGAGTCCTCATTTAAAGCGCCCTCTTGTGTCATTATGATGTTGCGCATCTTCTTTAATGGATGGTGCGGAGGGGACAGAATCTAGTGTACAAGTGAGGGAATTAGTCTGCACCAAGATGTTCCAGCCAGTGGAACAAGAGAGGAACATCTATGGCAGAGATGCTGGCTGGTAGGTCAGTGTTGTGCTAGTAAATTGCAGAAGTCTTTTCTGATTGAGTTTTGTCAATAAAATAGGAAGCAAGGTTAGGCTGAGTGAGAATGGATGAAGAGGTGTAGGAGATCGAAGAGAGAAAACTGTTAGGTTTCTCTAAGAAGACGTTGGGATAATAGGTAGATGATGACTATATGGTTAGATCTTTTCATATCATTAAATACATTTGCAATATATTTTTAATGGTTGCTCACAATTTTGTTTTATGTCTTAAATTATGGTTTTGTGATTTTTTTTTTAAACCACTTCCCAGTTTTTTCCAATTTCTTACTATTGTAAATAAAATGGAACAGTCTCTTGCTATGCCATTCCTACACTTGGAGTTCTTAACTTTTTTGTTGTTAAGACATGAGAATGGTTATCTTTCTCATTGGTTCATAAACTGTAGTGAGATTGTACACTTGTGTAAAATGTAAATTTTAAAAGTGTGATGCTATCTTTAACACAATAGTCAAAGGCAAAATTCTCCAAGCACAAATCATGAGATTCTAAATACGCACTGTTACATAGTGGTACTGATTATTATTAGAACAATACTGTGAGACTGAAACTGTCATCATCATTTTATTGCCGAGAAGAGTAATAGTATCACTGACTTGCTGTATACAGAGTATACCAAAAGTAGCAAATTCTTAGCAAAGTTCTGTTTGAAACTGTGAGTCAGTTACTTTGCTTGTAACCTAATCCTGCTAAAGCAAGAAAGGGAATTGTGTGTACTTCAAGCAAAGGTTTATCAGACAAGACAATAGTTCCTGGGCCCGTAGCATCAGGAGTCTATGAGCTAAGAGTAAGTCATCTCTTCATGCGCCACTGCTGTCTGCCAGGTTGATTGGCTCACTCCCTGGCAGTGGCTAGGGAGGAGGGCAAGACAATACATTAGAAGCTGCCAGAGGAAGTCACAGAGGAGAGAGGCTGAGTTGATACTTCAGAGAATCCATTACAAAAGTCTTCAATAATTTAATGAAATTGTGCAGTGATTATATAACCTGTAGAATTTATACTTTGTATCTTTTAAACATCACATACGATTCAAAGGATTTCCAGATCCTGCCGTAGCTCACAATTAGAGAAGGTCAGTTTTATGGCAGACCTGTGTGTAAGCTAACATTGGTCAGCAGTAAGCAAGCACTCATGCAGACTTACCATCCGTGGGCATTGTGCTATTTTATTTAATACTGTTTAACTTTCTTATTTAAGCCACATTCCTCTTTGAGATAGATAATGGGATCAATGGCCTAGAAAAGGGAATAAATAGGAACATTTACTTTCTATTTTTTTTATTTCCATGAACCTTGAAAATACTTATATTTGATCTTCTATGACAGTTTAACAATTTGTTTCCTTATAATGTTAACCTCATGTACCGTTCAATACTGATGAGGTCTAAATGTTTACCTGTAAAGTTCATGTATAAGAAAAAAACAATTTTATATTCCAAGGGGCACTACCCATCTCACTTTTAAACTTAGTGACCAAGCAGAGGGGCGCCTGGGAGGCTCATTCGTTAAGCATCTGCCTTCGGCTCAG